GAAAATCCTTTGTTACCATGTCCTGGGCTGCAAAATGAAATACTGGAGACGGGTTGTAAACCTGAAATCAAGAGCTTTCAAATCCCAAGAATCCGAGCTGCTCCAATTCCGTGGGACTATTCACACTGATGGCGTCGGTGTTACTGTGTTCAAGAAGACAAATGGCCTTCAATCGGGTTTCGGACAGAGATTTGGCATCCAGAGCGAAGATATCGAATACGTCACCCCACAGATACTCCGGAACGAAGACTATAGAGGACAATGGGTCACCATTGATCCTGGCAGAAGGGACCTGTTGTATTGCGTTCATGAGAACTCGTCACCCGACAACCACCAGACCTTCCGATATACAAAGCAGCTTCAAGATCATACACGGAAGACCAAACGGTACCGCAGACTCCGAGAACGACTCAAGTTGGAGCGACCCGAGGTCGCGTTGGCTGAGCAAAATTTATCCCAATTACAAGTCATACGCTTTCCGTGCACAACTACGACGGATACCTCGCCGCCAAGAAGCGGGTCTCTGTAGTTCTCAAGTCTTTCTACGCGAAAACCACTATGAACCACCCGAACCCGCAATTTCTTTTTCGAAAATTTCGCCTGTCAACATTTTACAAGAAGCAGCAAGCAGATGAAAAGCTTCTCGACTCTTTGAATGCGAAGTTTGGCAGTAGGTCCGTTTTCGTGATGGGAAATTGGTCTGCGCCGCATACCAGATATCACGAACCTATCCGCGGTGTCGGATTCCGGCGGCTGTTGAAGAAGAACAATTGCAATATTTATTTGATCGACGAGTACAAGACAAGCAAGTGCTGCCCTGTATGTGACAATAAAAACCTTGCTACCTTGAAAATGGTTCCTAATCCACGCCCATATCGATGACCCGACAATCCGCTCACAATCTACCATGGCCTGCTACGGTATGAAGGACGGGCATGTTGTGTTACATTTCCAAAAGATTATAATATTTTGATGTTTCAATAGATGCACAAATCAAAACTGTACAGCAGGCATGGTAGAGGGCGTTCGTCAACCAAGGTTATGGAACCGGGAGCTGGCGGCTACTCTCAACATGCATCATATCCTCCGGGGTCTTCGGGAAGATGGTATCATCCCAACAAGATTTCGGAGAAGAAATCCTGCATAAACGTCCGCAGCTGGTGGAAGCCCACACTCATCTGAACCAGAGCAGCGCAGCGTGAGACCACGACGGCTGAGGCGAGGAAGGCCACGAGGTGAACGCTCTGGCGGGTCGAGACGACCGTAACCCCAACCAAGAATTTTCCGCGTCAGTTATCGCTGACGCACCCAGGATAACCTTCCTTTGGAAGGACGGTTTGTTGTAAGTTAACGGGATTGGAGAAAGCGTAGTGTTTTCTGCTGACTAACAGGGTTTAATCCATGGATGCGACCTATTGATATGACAAATTTATATAATTACATGCGACATTATTTATCTTGTTTACGACATTTATTTTGAAAATAAAGTATAGGCTACCGCACCGCTGATGCTATTTACATAACAATTCTTGTTCAGCGACAATGATGGTAATAAACATTTAACGCAATTGTATTATTTGTCGTCAACGGGAGAGCAAGGAGAGAAGAATTCTTTATCCAAATTGGAAAAAAAAACCAGGAAAGTAATAAAAACAAGTTAACGACGCATTAGGGAAGAACCATCCGACTTATGGCGAAAGAGCTTGTTGCCGTGTGAGAACTCAGAGGCGTTTACATTATTGCTGTTGTTTGAGGTAGTATATAAAGTATTATTGGTGGTGGGCGTAGTGAACGGGGGCGTGTCAAGACCAGAGGATGTGTTGAATGGATCGAGCGACATGCCAGATGTGCTGTTGAAGGCACGCGCACCATAGCTCTGAGTCCTCCTTAGAGAACTCGGAGGAAGATTGCGCGAATATTTAAGGAATGCTGGTTTGGTTGCTTGAGGCGGCACCGGCGGCGGGTATACATGTTCTTTGTTGGGGTGATTATTCGTTCCACTTATCGAGAGCCAAGGCGAAGCACCTGCGTGCTCTTCGTGCTGGCCGCATTCATAACCTCCCGTTATTCCTCCTACCACAGATGCTGGTAAAGCGGCAATGTCTGAATCATTACTGCTTTGATCTGCAAATGGACTGCAGTTTAAGGATGAAGGCTCTCTTTTAGGTGAATCCTCGATTGCGCTCTCAAAAGGGTTATTGGATGCCTTGGGCGGAACGAATTTTTTTGTCAGTAGTAGCGACTGGCCAGTGTCGATTGCTGACGATAACCGTTGAAACGAATCCGCGTCCATGGAAGCTCGGGACGCGTGTTGTGCGGGTCGGTGTGGCTGCTGCTGCTGCTGTTTTACGAAAGTGCTTGCCACTGTACCAAATACAAAAAGGCTTTCAGGTTCTTTTTCGGAGAGCGTTGTTGCATTGGGCTGAGTATGAGGCGAGGGTTGCGGAACTGAATAGGGCATGGATCGTGAGCGTGAGTGGGTATATGGGTGCAGTTTTTGCTCGTTTTTTGCACTAACATCCATAGTAATGCTCGAATGCGATGTGAATTGGTTTGAGTGCGATTGTAGGGGAGGTAGTTGCGGCCACTGCAACGCGGGTTGGTTTGCTAAAGTAGGTGTCTCATAGGTCCCCGACGTATTGCTGCTGCTCCCGAAGCTCTGCTTACTGGTAGATCCACTAAAGGATGAAGTGGATGGCAACGGGCGCATTGGCGGCGACATAAGTGGCGCTGAAGGCTGGATATTGACGTTATACTGCGGCAAAGATTGCTGACCAACATACCAAGAGGTGGGGCGCTGTTGGGCAGTAATAGGGTCCATTTGGACCCAAGAATTTCGAGAGGCTTGTGCTCCCTGCTGCCAAGCGCCTGTGTTACTATTACCGGACTTAGTGCCCATTTGATCTGTTGCTGTTGACACGTCTGAGGTTGGAGCTGGAGATGTTTTGATGAGGGCGTCGATCGCATTCGTCCTGAACTTGGGAACAGGCGCTGCGAGTGCCGCAGAAGCCGATGAGACTTTGCATTTATAAATTTTGTCGCATGATCACTTGGCCTTACCTCCCAAAAAGACCATGTCGCGACTGATCGTCCTACCATTTTGGGCATGTCCAATCAAGCGAAGCACGGCGTAAAACTGTTGCTCGCTGAGTCCATCTCCCGCATCCTTGAAAAGTTGCAGAATCTACGTTAGGTAGTTTAGTGAAGTTGTGCTCAGCCCGGATGAGAGGCTAGTTGCGTATGCTGGGGGCGTGAGAGGGTAAATAGGGAATCGGTTGAAGCGGGGTAAGAAACAGCATAAATAACAGAAACGTACCTGTGCTAACTTGTGGTCTGGCAGACAGCACCCTCGCACGAACTTGAGCAACGCTTCGTTGTCAAGATGTCCAATGGAAAACGGGTCCAGATCCTTCCACCATGTTCGATAAGCAAGCTTCTCTGTTTCTGATAACTCATCCATACAGAGCGCTGGAAGTTCGTTGACATTGGCCTCGGCGTCATCGAAAGAAGGTAATTGTGAGGCGGTGAGTTTCTTTGCAAACTGCTGCGACCGCCTGTCGTCGGTATGCTTTGTACTATGCGAGCGCAGAAATGTCGTTTTCAGTTTGTTCATGGAATGACATGCAAAAAAAAAAAAGAAAAGAGAGAAATGTCAAAGTTGAAAATGGGGGAAAAAGAAAGGAAAGAAAGAAAGGAAGTAAACGCTGTTATACGATTTGGGCGCTTAGGGCAAATGCTACTCCTACCGCAAATCCATGCTGTTAGGCCTTGCACCCCTTGTCGGGCACTCACACGATTCGTATTTTCATCATCCGCCTCAACCCTCCAGAGACAGGCATGCTGTAACGCGCGGTAAACCTACTGCCATTATCGAACGCTTTTTGCAGCTTTCAAGGCCTTATTGCAGGTTAAGTGCACCCACAACCCAAGTCTGTGATTCTCAGAGACCAACCCGCTTCAGCCCGCCGTCACAGTCGAGCCTTTTTTCCTCGTGTTATTTCAGTTCCTTAAATGTCATCACCCCACTCTGGAATCACAGCAGAGTCGCTCAAGCAAATCATCACTGAGCGTCTTCATGCAGTTCACGTGGTAACTGATACTATATGCTTTCTTTATTGCTATGTGACAAAAGTAGGAACCACCTTTTTAAGACATCGCTGTAGGAGGTCGTTGATCAGTCAGGTGGCTGTGGCCAGATGTTTGATGTGGTCATTGTCTCACCCCAATTCCAAGACAAACGCCTTCTTGCTCGTCACCGACTGGTAAATGAGGCTCTCAAGGATGAGATTAGTAAAGTGCATGCTTTTTCTCAGGTGCGTATGCGAAAGAATGGGATCCAAGAACGGCAATTTTGACATAAGCTCTTGTAGAAGGACCTCACTCCGGAGGAATGGGAAAAGAAGAAGGAACGCGGGGAACTGTAACAGGCTCAGCAACAGTATTATGATGTCCTTTTATTAGAATCCTCCATAACCGCAAAGTTTAGTTATTCGAACGCCAGATAAACTTTCTTTGCATGAATTACATAAAACTGATGCTATTGTCAAGGAGGAAAGGAGTCGCGTGCACAGTTTGCAATACGCACGAATCTGATATCGATTCCCATGGGAACAAGAGCTACAAAAACATCAAGGGAATAGTCTTGATAAGCTATGTAGTGACATCCACATTACTATGATAGTTGCGCTCAAAACGTTAATAGCATACAAGGGCCTTTTACAAAGCGTTCGTCCATTCAGTTGATTTTCGGCCTTTTCTTTCATTGCAATTCGTAAATACGCTTAACGTTTTGCTGTCTTTTAGACGACATGAAAGTTTGATAATTATTTTTGACGTGTGAGGGCAATGGGGAGGGATGTGTTCGCTTTTAACAACGAAAACTTGCTCGTCATTGCCGCCCAATAGATATGTCATAACTCTTAAGCTAAAATAATTGGATGCAGACATCGCCGCATTTTATAGGTCTACTTATTTATTTTTGGCACCTCGGGTGCTAACTTGATGGCGTGGCGAAAAGGATAACGCGCTGGTCTCCGGAACCAGAGATTGCGGGTTCGAGTCCCGTCGTCATCGAAAAAGTTGCCAGACGTTCTGTTTTTATATCGGCGCATGAATAATTTCAGCCAATCAGATGTCGTGCCAGAGGATTTCCGACCAATCATAAGTGTTTGCCAAGAATGTCCTTTTCGACCTACACCTCCATCGCACGCATCAATACGACGCGACTGGTCAAGAAAACCAATCCCAACGATTAAAAACCCTTTTCTTCTGGCATCCCGTTTATGTATTTTTAGATAGCAAAATCAGTATAAATAGTAAGAAGTTCGCATACAATAAAGGACATCTTTCGAGATCCCACTTCTGCGTCTGCTACCAAGCTTAATCGCTATTCCTGGCCAAAGTTTATCCGCCAAAATAGACGACACAGATGTAGTGGTAGATCCTGCCCGTCGAAACCCTAGACCCCCTCCTCCAGCGTGCCCTTCATATTATTTAATAAAAATAACAAGAAGGTCACATACTTTATTTTCAAAAATAAATTTCGTAAACAAGATAAAATAATGTCGTGCAAAATACAAGAAAAATGTCGCATAGGATTATATAAATTTGTCGTATCAATAGGTAAAAAGATATCGCATCCATGGATGAAACCCTGTTAGTCAGCAGAAAACACTACGCCTTCTCCAATCCCGTTGACTTACAACACACCGTCCTTCCAAAGGAAGGGGGCTTGCCCCGAAGGGCTGTGGTTATCCTGGGTGCGTCAGCGATAACTGACGCGGAAAATTCTTGGTTGGGGTTACGGTCGTCTCGACCCGCCAGAGCGTGCACCTCGTGGCCTTCCTGGCCTTGCCCGTCGTGGTCTCACGCTGCGCTGCTCTGGTTCAGGTGAGTGTGGTCTTCCACCAGCTGCGGATGCTTGTGCAGCATTTCTTCTCTGGAACCTTGCTGGGATGATACCATCTTCCCGAAGACCCCGGAGGATATGATGCATGTTGAGAGCCGCCGCCAGATCCCGGTTCCATAACCTTGGTTGACAAACACCCTCTGCCATGCCTGCTGTACAGTTTTGATTTGTGCATCTATTGAAACATCAAAATACTGTATTATAATCTTTTGGAAGTATAACACAACATGCCCGTCCTTCATACCGTAGCAGGCCATGGCAGATCGTGAGTGGATTGTCGGGTCGTCGATATGGGCGTGGATTAGGAACCATTTTAAAGGTAGCAAGGCTTTCATTGTCACATACAGGGCAGCACTTGCTTGTCTTGTACTCGTCGACCAAATAAACATTGCAATTGTTCTTCTTCAACAGCCGCCGGAAGCCGACACCACGGATAGGCTCGTGATATCTTGTATGCGGCGCAGACCAATTTCCCATCACGAAAACGGATCTACTGCCAAACTTCGCATTCAAAGAATCGAGAAGCTTTTCATCTGCTTGCTGCTTCTTGTAAAACGCTGACAGGCGAAGTTTTCGAAAAAGAAATTGCGGGTTCGGGTGGTTCGTAGTGGTTGTCGCGTAGAAAGACTTGAGAACTACAGAGACCCGATTCTTGGCGGCGAGGTATCCGTCGTAGTTGGGCACGGAAAGCGTATGACTTTGAAATTGCGATAGATTCTGCTCAGCCAACGCGACCTCGGGTCGCTCTAACTTGAGTCGTTCTCGGAGTCTGCGGTACCGTTTGGTCTTCCGTGTATGATCTTGAAGCTGCTTTGTATATCGGAAGGTCTGGTGGTTGTCGGGTGACGAGTTCTCATGAACGCAATACAACAGGTCCCTTCTGCCAGGATCAATGGTGACCCATTGTCCTCTATAGTCTTCGTTCCGGAGTATCTGTGGGGTGACGTATTCGATATCTTCGCTCTGGATGCCAAATCTCTGTCCGAAACCCGATTGAAGGCCATTTGTCTTCTTGAACACAGTAACACCGACGCCGTCAGTGTGAATAGTCCCACGGAATTGGAGCAGCTCGGATTCTTGGGGTTTGAAAGCTCTTGATTTCAGGTTTACAACACGTCTCCAGTACTCCATATTGCTTGTGTGGGATTCCATTTTGCAGCCCAGGATATGGTAGCAAAGGATTTTCGTATCGATCTCCATGTAGCATGGTGACCACGAGCGACGAAGTGGAAAACAGTTGAATCCGCGTATTCCGTTCTGTTGACAAACGCGTGCAAGCTGGAAGAAGGCGTTGAAATGCTTAACAGGATTGGCCTTGGCGTCGTAATAGATACTCTGGTGTTGGAATTGGTGGTTTCGGGGGTAAGCGTTTAAGACAGGTTGTAGGATATCGTATGCTTCCCGAAGAAATCCAGGTTCGGCGTTAATGTCTTCCCTCAAAACACCTCGACGGGCAATTGCTAGCTTGAATCCTGTGGCATGCCGGGTGATGGTTTCATAAAGGTCCTGGCGTACTTGATCGGGGCTTAGGCCCTGTGCGATTAACTCTCGCTTGCGGTCGGCTTTTCGCTGACGAAGATTCAGGATGACATTGATGACACGCCGAAGGTGTTGCCCGAACCGCATGTGGACATTATTCACGTAAGCAGTATAAATCTTGGTGCCTTCGTAAGAAGAACATTGCTGGGAATAAGGGAACGCAGGCCTGTCGTATCCGGATATCCGAAGGTACTCATCCTTGTGGCGATTAATTAGTTCTCGGATGCGGGCAGTTTCACCTTGGGTGCGGCGTTCGGCTTTGTTAACCATGGAGAGCCAAACTTCTGAAAAGAACTTCTCCGTGATGTTTTCCTGGATGTTAAAAGTTGGATCGCGCGCTGCCTCGTTGATGAAAATATATTTGGCGAACGCGTACGCCTGTGTTGTGGTGTTGTGGACAAGGTCAACCAACTGATACAGACGTTCACGGTACTGCTGTCGCCAGCCGATGCCCCGTATGGACGATTTCACCCCAATTATACGGCCAGTGCGGTCAATGCTGTGGCCAGTGCGCATGCCTTCGGGAATGACGGGGCGGTGGGGTTGGGCCATTTGGTGGGTGAAGACCTAGGGTATATTATTTCTTAGTATCGCAGAGCCGAGTATGAAAGCGGCCGTATTACCTTTCAACCGTAAATGTGGTGCTGTGTTATTTTCTGTAGGCTGAATGGGCTCTAGTTTTGTATGTGGATAATGGAAAGGGACAGCTTGCTTGAGCATCACTATTTATAGTGTCAGCAATGATCCATCTCCACAGTGTTTTTCTTTTTCCCACTGGGTTCTTTAATGAGGTTTTACAGTGGCCGCTCGTTATAGTGATATTCATTATAATGATAATTCGTTATAGCGATACACTTTATGAAGGACAAAATTGCCAGGTAGGGCTTATTCCAATTCATTATAGTGATAATTCATTATAGTGATGCGATTTCCTGGAACCGAGGGTATAACTATAAGGGGCGGCCACTGTATCGACGTGAGGGCGGTCTGAAATCAATAATGAAATCCCAAACAATTCCAACAAGTAATTCCAAGAGACCATCTCAAGAATAATCCGATACATATCCGGCACTTGTGTAGTGTAGGAAGATTGTACTTCTTTTCGTACTCTCTCAGTCTCTTACAACACAACAAAACACGACACTGCTGTCATCCTTATCCATACGTTCAGAAAGTGTAGGTACATAATGAATAATTTCTCTGAATATTACAAGGAGAACACAGGAGTCTCCTGAAAGCTATTACTTCATTATTCCATTTGATAACTAGCGTCGGAGTTACAATCCCCAGGCTAAATGGCTCATTGACAAAGAAAGCACACTCCGATAGTTCTTTGTTCTTTCCAAGAATAAACTTAGTCTTCTCGATATAGGATTCTTTTGAGTACGGCTATTTTTAGCGAAAATTGCATTCTAGAACAATAAATGCTCTTCATTGAGAATACACGATCGGCCCCCTGCTTCTACGTTTCTTAAAATGCTGTCAGGATCCTTTTCTTACTGTAATGCCCATCGCTGTGCTGAACGAACATGGAGTCCTAGCTGTTTTGCTGCAGCTGATGCACTCAATACCTCCTCAAACACCAGTTTGAAACATCTGACCTTGCCTTGATCAGTGTATGCTGTGTAACTGCCCTTGATCCCCGCTTCTTTCATCCGAATGTATGTATCCTTTCGCTTGGGAATGTGTGTGAGAGTAAACTCAGAGTTATCTTATGCACGATATGCTACACAGATATTCAGTGTAAGAACAAACGGATTGAAGTGAGTACATTTCCTCATCAGCGACATGACCTTGGCCATCGTTGTAAAATAATAGATTGCTCATTTCAAAATGTAAAAGTTTATAAAGAGAAAGAGTCATAAGGATGAGATGGATTTGCGACATCTTTCCGTGTATGTATGCGACTTTTGCTTTGTCATCATGCGTAAAGATTTCCGGACAAAAATGCGATTTGTATTTTTGCGATCCTGCGACTTCAAAACTGGCAGGGTGCGACTTTGATTTTGAAAAATGGTGTATAATAAAGAACATGTTTGCAGACCCCTGATCCCGCTCCTGTCACCAGTTGAATTGCTGGCCTACTTTTTATCCACCGAAATAGGCGACACGGATCTGTCATGACCAGCTCTCCCTTCTGACCCACAGAATGCAATTCATTGGTAGCCTCGATTGAATCCCTTCATACTGTAGTAAGTAATCTGTGGTTCCTCAGCTAGACTTTACTACATAGCAAGTTTTTTGTGGTTGTCAATTATTTACACATGGGGATGGGGGGATTACATTAAGCGTTCCAGTTGCGGTAGATGTCGTGGATTTTATGGGCCCAGAGGGTGGCTGAAGCCGGTAAAGAAGGTAAGGATTTGAATTCATCGTAGACTTCATCAACGCCCTTCGGGTCATTTGTAGCAATCATTGTCTGCAGCGCAAAATAGTAAGACCGTGCAAGCAGCGATGGCGGATCGGCTGTCTCGTTCGGCTTTGGCCTCAAAGACATACGCCAATAATGGCGGATAGAATCCAAATCACCGGACGAGTAGGCGCCTTCAATCATCATGTCAAAAGTGGCGATATCCGGAACAGGCTTGTTGGTATTACTTAATCGGTCGCTCTCTGGTGATGGAGT